TATATATATATATATATGGCTTAGTTTGAGGAGGGTGAAAAAATGACAATCACATTAATTTAAATTGTACATTGAAATCTCTGTAAAGAAGCTAACCCATAAAACTTTTCGCGTAGAAGAAAGATAAGTTAATTGCAAAATCCAGTGCTATTAAATTTATTAACTAAGTTAATATGATTTTTAAATAAATACATAATTAAAAATAGGACATTACATTGATATTTATAAAAACTATCATAATTAAACAATTAAAAAGAAAACTGCATAAAAATGAGAAACTGTACGACTATTAATCATGCTTGATTAAAAAACTTCATTGACTTCAAAAAATATGAAGATGGAAAAAAGTCAACGTGTTTCAAGTAGCTCTCAAAAAAGGTGCCTATTCTCAAGACTTGCCTCACATGAATGAGGAAAAACAAAAGTGATTTGAAATATAATATATAAAGATGGCATTGGATAATAGAAGTGATAAGCAGTGGCGTATCTAGGGTATGGCGAATGCCATGGGCGCATTATTTCAAAAAGGCGCAAAATCGATCAACATCAACAATTTTTTTACTAAAAATTATTAAGTTTTTTTTTTAAATTTATATATATATATAGATAGATAGATAGATAGTTGGAGGGGAATTAAAATAAAGCACACAAAATTTAACCTTTTCACTTAGGCTTGAAAAGAAAACATCGTTTTTTGAGGGACTCTTTATGTCACTGGGGCAGTGAAGTATGAAAGGGAACCGCTAATCGTAAACAAAGTAGGCGACAAATGTCAAACAATGCAGATTAAATATAATTTGTTAATGTTCATGAATACATTCACGATAAATACTAAAATAAATAAATGAAAAAAATAGCTTTTTCTTTTCTGCCGTTATATTTACGACGATTTCGTCAAAAACCAAATTTTAATTACAAAATCATAATTTAAAGAATAATGCTTAGTTTTTAATCATTATTATTACTCCCTTTGCTAACTTTTAATACATTCCAATAAAAATATTTTTAATTTTAGAAAATTTCCTAAATAGTTCACATTTAATTTTCATCAAAATCGTTTTACGAAAAGTCTTTTAACTACATATACAATTTCAAATGAATTTAAAATTTTCGAAAATGTAGCTAATCATTGCTGCAATAAGTCAAAGCTGTAATAGAAAGAATTGAAGCTCTAGCTGCTACTGAAAAAAAGGAGACGAAATAAGGTCATTATTCATTATAGAAAATTACAGAGAATTTAATTTTTCTCTCTCTTTTCAGTGTATTATGTAGTTCATTTTTTTCAATCAAAAATTAAAAATAAAGCATAAACTAAACTTAAAATTATTTGAAGAAACGAAAAAAAAAAAAATTTCAGGTATAAACGATCATAAAATAAACAGTTTAATAATGTTCATTCAAAAGGGTTATTCACGAATAAGAGTTTTAAATTTTAAAGTTCACAGTCTTATAAACAAACAAGAGATATAAAAATAAAATAATTTTAATTACAAAGGTAAAGAATATATACTAGTATTAAGAATGTATGTTGTTATTATGTATTAATGTAAGTTATGCCATATTTCAAATGTTTATATAGCCTGTACTATGTATGTTATAGCTCTTGAGTAGTAAATACATATATCGATATAAATCAATATCTTTTTCCTCTGTAATGCATAACATATTAATTTAAAATCATATGCTTTTCAATACTAAGAACAGAAAACAAATCCTAAAAATATTTATTGATTTTTATTTAGAATAGTGTACTTTGATATTCATTTCAATTTAAAATAATTTACTTGAAAAAATGCTTTTCTACTTAGATTATTTGATATTATTTATGTATATTTGAAAATACCATACGTTAAAATTAAACTACAATAAAGAAGCTGAATTTTTAAATTTAAAATATTTATCTATATGAAAAAATTAGCAAAAATATAACAGACTAAAAAAATGAAAGGCAAACGAACGAAACTTTGGATTTTCAAAAGTAGGTGAAAAATGTAAAGAAACTTTTTCTTCCTTATATCTAAAGGAAAGTGAGACCTCCCATAGTGCATTCCACCATGACTTTACTCTCTCTTTTGAAGAAGTCCCCCGTTCTTAAACTGGAAAGATTGTTCCTCCTCTTCATATCGCATTACAAGACTGCAGTCCTTCTAAAAAGGCAATTAACCGGGGAGGAAATGGAGGGAACCCCTTCAGACAGAGATAGATATTTGGAGATGACCAGAGAACAGAGAAATGTAAAAACCATAGGGTGTCTCATGCTTGTAAATCAGGAGTTAAAATCTCTTTCAAGAACGTTTTCCGAATCTGTTGAATAGATTTCAAAAAGAACCCCTGCTGTAAATTAGCATCAATCCTTCCAAAACAGGAAATACTTGCCACCCATGGTGTGAGTCACCTCCACAAAAATGTGAAATACTAAAAATAGGAGGTCCCTCTGCCTGGCTCAACAACTAATTTGAACCAATGAACGGATTAACAATGAATACACCCCACTATTTTGAAAAATAAAGACAGACGTAATTGTAAGTTGTTGAGTGTCCGCGCTCATATGAAAAATTCTGCTCGTTCTAGTTGTTATTTCAAAATTTAATTCAAGAGAATAAATATTTAAAGTCTATTTTGGAATTTCATAATCTAATTTGATAGGTTACAGTTTTTTTTATAATTCATTCAGCTATTTAAGTGGTAGGATTTTCTTCCTTGATTGTAAGTATTGATTGATTTTTTGGTAATTATAATTATATATTGTATAATTAAATACTTGTTAATACTTGATTATTAAAAATAATATGTAATAATAAAAAACAGGTGTTAAAATTTCAAATGTTATTGGGGACATAATTTTTTAAATTTCCTGAAAATTAATTGCGATAGGTAAATAATTTTGTGTATCCTAAGTAAGTAACATTCATTAAGTTCAGCAGTTGCCAACTACCTAAAAAAAATTTTCTTTTTATTCAATAATAGATAAATTTTGAATTTAACCACTTGTAAAAGTTTGATTTTTTTCCTTTCCTTAGAATGGTTACATAAAGAAACATCGTCAGTTGTTGGCATTTTTTTTTTTTTTTTTGCAGAAGTATTATTCACTCACAATATTTATTATATTTTGATGCTTTAAATGTGAATTTCAATAATACTTCTACCAGGGTTGGGTTTTTGACGTCAAAAAGTGGTTTTTGACATGACAAGGGTATAATACTGGTTTAAACCGTCAAAAACCCGTCAAAAATGTCAAAAACTGAAGTTTGCCAAGAAAATACATAAACTTCAAAACTACCAACAGTTGCCACGCATTATATTGAAATTTAATTATACTATAGGTAATCAGCAGGTTTTAAAATATTTTTTAATTAAAATTAAGGTAAAATAACAGATTTAAAATCTCAGAAATTTATATTCAAATGCATGTGCAGAAAAATTTTGCACAAAAATTGTTTAAATATTTATATTTAAAAAAAAATTATTTTTTTTGATACTTAAGAAAATTAAAAGTTTATTACTATGCATTTTTGACATATAAGGAACATATAACTAATATTTATAAGGAACTTACAAGTTATGTTGTATAAATACAAACTTGATACAAGTGTATGAAAAAAAATTTTAATGTTATACCGAATATCTTTATTATCCAGTATGTTAATTTGAATTTAAAAGTAGTTATATTTGTGAATAATGATAAATATAATTCATATTGTTTATTATATTTATTTATAATTATTACACTTATCATTTTAAAACAATTTTTATCTCTTAATTTTTTTTTCTCCACTTGTATTAAGAATACAAATAATGCATATCTTGAAAGCAAGAAGTAATTATTCAACAGCTGAATATTTAGATATTCAACAAAACTATATAGTATTCAGCAAAATGAAATTCACAAGTATTTGGATAAACTAAATTTTCAGCATAGTAAATGAATAGGCTGAATATACTGTAAATCGACACTAACTACTCTGTGTATTTAACAGAAAGCACTTAAATTTGTATTGTCTTATGTTAAAAAGATTATTAAGAAGATTTAAAAGAATATTAAAAAGATTTTTCTTTAAAAGAAGATGTCTAATGTACAAAACTGCTAATGTTTATCTTTAAAAATGTCTAATTTTTAGTATAATCTATACTATACACTAAATTTGGTTATAAATAAATTTCTTAATAATATCACTGCAGATTTTCAATAACACATGAAAATGAATACATAATATTACAAAAGATGTGAGTTTTCAAAAGTACAAGATTTTGGTTACTATTCAAAATATAAGTGTTTCTTCAAAATTTTAAATTTATTTTTTCTAGAACATATTTAGAAACACTATCCTTTATAAAAAATATATAAATTTTATGTATTAATTAAATTTCACATATAAATATAGGTTTTTGACATTTTCGACATTTTTGACAGTGAGGTTTTTGACGTGACGGTTTAAACCATGGTTTAAACCGTCAAAAACTGTCACATGTCAAAAACCTGCCAACCCTGACTTCTACCTACAAATTTAAAAAAAAGAAAGAATTTTTTAATTTTAAAACACATGTTTGTCTTGAATTTTTGAATTATATAATATTTATCAAACTGTCTTCGAGTTATGGAGCACCCTTCCTTATTTCTCAGGCACAAAATTTTGCAAATCTTTCTCCTATATTTTTTCTTTTATTTCAAATTGCCATTTTCTTCCTTTTTTTAAAAAAAAAATAGATTAAATAAATACTACTCTTTTAATTTTATATAAAAGCTAATTTTTTGATGTTTAAGTCTTTTACAATATATTTCACTTACATTACATTTATGTCACTCCATATCATATTGCTTGAAAAAAAGTCGGTATACTGTTTTTAAATGGGTTTATAAAGTGTCCTCAATTTATATATTATATTTATGTATTATATTTATTTTTTATAATCAAAGTAAAATGGTAACAAAATAGTATTAAGGTTATGATATGTAGTTTATAACCCAATCATTACAACAGTTTAGTAACTTGACAAAAAAAGTTATCAATAAAGTGATAATCACAATAATTTTTTTTTTCATTAAATAATTATCTTTATTTTAAGAATATAAAAAAAGAAAAAACAATAAGCATCTAATGAAAAACTAGAGCTTGTTTAGTTATGAAGCATACACATTCTTATAATGTATTTTCATAAAGATGCGAAAAGACATCTTCTCCTCAAATATTTCAATGATTTATATTTTTCTTTTTCCTTAAAAACAAATTTTATATCTAATTAATTTTGATTAGTTTTATAAAGTTTTTTGAAAACCCTGTTCTGCAGGTTAGTCTAAATTCAAATAGTTCGAATATGGAGTTCGGTTTCCTGGGAAATCGAATTTTAAAAAAGTTGGATATTTGATTTCTCATTAACTGTTCGATCAATTTTGCTGAACTATTGTATTGTCCCATGTTAAATTACCTTCTTTTAAAATGACATAAAAAAATTTTTCCCTACAATTCAAATTTTTAAGACAATTATTAAATAAAATAATAAATATTTACTAAAAGCTTTTTTTTTTTTTTAACAATTTTCACAATTATAAACGACGTTAATAATTGTGCGAATTTTTTTTTCACTTCTGATCATTAGATCAAAAGTTATCAGGGTGATCCCTTAATTAATTTTTTTGCGCACTGAACGTCTAAAAATTTATAATTCAAATCTGTTTAATTTTTTGCTTTAATTTGTTCTATTGTGATGCGAAGAGAGAATTTTTCATACATATTTTTTTTTAATTAAATATATATCAGAATGTATTCTGGTCTATTTCTTACCCTTTTGCCTTTTTTTTACTGTTTGCAAAATAATTATTTCTAGATATTCTTAAAACTTCAACTTCCTCTAATTTATTTCTCAATGAAGAATGTATTATTGTCGCTATTAGTGTTTTGTATGTAATTATGTGTATATTTTTTTATATTATCTGTTATTAATGTTTGTGAAACTTAATTATATTACGAGCATCGATCTTTTTTTATTGAGCAGTAAATAAACTAACCAAAATGTATCTTTTGATTGTAGCGCGATGATTTTATTGTTTTGATGTTAGCAAAGCGTGATTATTTTAAAAAATTCAATTTCCTTCAGTTTTAGTTTTGAAAATGTTGGGTAATCATCCGGTTATATAGTTTTTCTTCAAGCTACATTTGTTGAGTGTGCGTATTTTTGTTACCAAATTATATTTGTAAAGCTTTAAAATATAATAGTGCTTAATTAAACAACTTGTTAGAATTTTTATTGACAATTGAAAAAACGCAATAGAATCTTTTATAAATATGATAGAAAAGATATTTTTACTTCTTACCAATGAGGATTTCAAATACATGGAACGGAAAACAATTAAAAAGAGATAATTTTATTGTTATATTTAATATTTATTTATTTATCAATTCATTTTTTCTTAAAATTCAATGCAATCTTTTTGCAATATTGTCAAAAGAGTTAAATACTTCAAACAATGCTTTTATTTTGTATTGGATAAAAAAAAATTTAAAAAGAAAAAAGAGAATATTAATATTTTAGGAAGGGCGCCAGTAAGAGATTTGCCATAGGCGCTTCCTTCCATAGGTACGCCTCTGGTGATAAGAAAAACCGTAGTAGCTGAGAGCGAAGCAGGAAATATAAAGAAAAAGCAAGACAAGAAAAAATGCTCTGGTTCAGAAGACTGAATCATAGTAAAATGCATTTCCACACGCTATGGAGAGGTGGTGAGAAACTCACGTCATTAACAAAGGAATCACCATTCATATAAATGAAGATTCTAGGGCAGGGGTGGCGAACCTTTATACACCAACGTGCCATTTTCTCTAAAAAATTGCTTAATGAGGTCATAAACGTGCCGACAAATAAATTTGACTTCGTGATTATTGGGAAAAGAATAATACTAATTACTATCAACTTAAAACTCATTATTTACATTAAAAAAAATACATTTTGCAATGTCTCAGTTATACAAGTAATTCAACTTAAAGTAGCATCAGTGTGACTTCTGTTGTTGCAGATTAGATGACCAATAACTTATATTAGGTTGTAAGATGCTAGTTTAAGCAGGACTGTTGATTTTTTGCTAGTTATTTATTGTTAACTTGTTTTTTACTGTTAATAATTGTTTTTTAGAATAAATTTTTTTATTAATAATTGTTTATTATTTTGTTTATTATTTTGTTTGTTTTTTGTGAATTTTAATTTAATTGTTACATATGCTTCATAGCGTAATAACATTTGTGTAATAACAATTCATAGTGTAACAACAATTGTGATCGGTGGAGTGCCCAAAATATTGTGTCGCGTGCCATAAATGGCACGCGTGCCATTGGTTCGCCATCCCTGTTCTAGGGCATCAAGATAAGATGGTGTGACTGAGGTGGAAATAATTTTGGCATTGTCCAAATTGAATTTATGTCCAAAATGCCAACAATGTGCTACAATTAATGGTTTATTGTATTCTTGATAATGGACACATCTATATTGTTCATTAAGACTTAATTTTAAATTGATTTGTTCAATTAAATTTCAAAGTGGTAAGTAAATACTCCTGTGATTCTCCATACCTATAGGATCTTTGAGATTTAAATTTAATTTTGATAACATCTTTGAAAATGTCTTTTAAAGCAAACGGGATAGGATATTAGGAATTTGGCAGTAAACATTAGAGTAACATATTCCCAGTAAGGATTTGAAGAAGAAAGGCATTCGGGTCTAGTGAGTTAAGCAAGAGCTGAATCAATTTTAGAAAAGTTAGATCCACGCCTAGCAGTAAGTGAACAGAGGATGTTGACTTTGAAGTTTAAAAAAGAAGAGTCAAAGCAAGGGTTAAGTGCGAGGAAGACTAAAGTATGAACAGGAATTCTCTGACCATAGTGTGAATAGAATTAACTCAAGGGGGTAAAGATATACCGAAATGTTTGCGATAAATAGAGGTAGAAAAATGATCAGAGTGTTTAATTACAAGAACAACTGAAAAAGCTAGAATAATATTTATTTCCATATCTAAGGTGAATTGAATGTTGGGGATTAATCTAGTTGATGACTAAGACAAACATATTATCACCATATCTTTTACCCCATGAAAATTTGAACATTTTAAGAGCATTTTCTTTAAATTAATGCATGAAATGTCAGAAAGTATGGGAGGAAAGCAATTTGGTGGGAAATAAATGATTAAAAGCTAAGTATATATAGGAAAAAAATATTCAAGCATATGAGTTAAAATTATTTTAGTAAATCTATATTTAAAAGAAAATGTTTTTAAGATCAGCTCTTAACAACTAAAAACTTGCTAAAGAATTTCTCATTTGATGGAAGAAGAGAATTTTCATTTAGCATCTTTGACAATGTGTTGAATCTAGTTTTTGTTTAATTTCTTCTACTTGCTTTGTTATTATTAATTTTTTTCCTTGCTAATGTAATTAGTTTACTTTGATAATTGTGGTATAAAACTTAGCCTATTGACTTTCTTTGTTTGTTAAAATAATGCTTGTAAAGTTATATTTTTTAAAAAGTTTTTATATCTCTTAAACAGGCAGGGAGGGTTTCTATTTAATAGAATTATCTTATCATGTTATAGAATTATCTTATCATAATTTCTTTATTTATTTAGTAACGAAATATTTTGAATTCTTATGCTTTATTTTATTTATTAAAGTATGTTTTATTGAACCTAGTTACCAAATTTTCAAGTAAAAACTATTTTTTAAATTTGACAAACACTCGTTGAAAATTATGTCTTATAATTCTTTTTCGCATCTTTTTTGTTTTTATAACAAAAATTGTTTTTATTCATTTTCTTTTGAATCAAATTTTTAATTTTTTTATTACATTCAGACAGAAAAAGAATTTTACTTCCTCCATATTCACTTTTGACGAATCATCTATCAGTAATTTATTTATTTATTCATTTGTTAGCTAATGTTTTTGAATGTTTTTTGTGTTTAATTTCATTAGTTGAAATATGTTCTATTAAACTTAGTTACAAGTTTTACATTTTAATATTGCACTAAGTATTTTTAAGAATTCTTTTGACCTTTAAGTTTAAAATTCGGTACTAAATTCAACATAACTCATTTTAATGAATATTGTTAAACAAAAATTATTCAAAAATTTTTATTATTGACTGAATAAATAAAGAAATTATAGGCACACAATTCTCTGCAAGTCAACAAAAAGTTAGAAAAATCCTTTTTCTGCCTGAAGGGTATACTTAGTGTCATAAGTGCTTATGAGGTGGTGGAATATTTTTTAAACATTTTGTATTTTTTTAAATTAGGCGAAAAAAGTCAAGCGTGATGATGAATCTATCTCAAATGAAGTTGTTGCACAAGCTCACATTGAAAATTATGCCTTGAAACTTTTCCTATTTGCAGATAACGAAGATCGTTCAGGGCGATTCAACAAGTAATTAATTTAAATAACAATTATTTTAAATACTTTGATTGCGTAGATTATAAGAGTAAAACAAATTTTTTTTTTTGTATTATCAGGAATGTTGTAAAAGCTTTCTACACCTCTGGTTTTATCTATGATATTGTGAGTACTTTTGGTGAGCCAAGTGATGAAGTACGTATTAAAGTTTGTTTATGCATTGAAAGAAAGAAAAAATTTTAATTTTCCGAATTTTATAACCTATTATTCGCCTATTTTTGTCTAAGCATTAAATGCTATTATATTTCTAATATTCCTTTTATTAGTTGAGTTTTCTAATTAAAGCTTAGTTACAAGTGATGGCATATGATATTAATTGCTTATTTCTTTATGATATATTTAAAATTAATCTAATTAAATTTTCACTTCTAGTTTTTTCTGAATTCAAGTTTTTCATTGGGGGCTAGGTATAATATGGTCAATGTTAACCTCCATATATGAAAAAGTACCTCATTATAGAATAGAGTTAACATGTTTTATATAGAATTGGAATTGAATAATTGTAGTGGTAGACAGGCTACAGTAATCCCCCACCAGAATTTTATCTGTAATAGAATTCGATGAACAGATACCACTAGTGAATTCATTGCTGTTTTGTAAGAAGCCGGGTGAGCTGAATTAAGATCACCGGATTTTTGAATGCTGGTTGTGAGAACTGTATTAAGATCATGGTTGTGTGCATGGTCACTCCAGTGTTGTTATTAGCAGCGGCGTGTGAACAGTATTTGTTGTGTGTGATGGAGACTGAGGAGCAATGCATGCATGGACTATGTCTTAGTTACAAATAGTAAGTTAACTGTTCAATGTAAACTATCGATAGAAGTGGGTGTGTTCAAATCAAAGTGGGCGTGTTCAGATCACATCTGCTTAGTCACCAATGTGGGGAGAATGTTACTGATAATATTAACCATCATCTATCAAAAGGTACCTAAAGATAGAATCGAGTTATTACTGTACTAGTGAATCAAGTTATTATTTACTAGTGAATTGGAATTGAATAATTGTAGTGGTAGCCACACTTCAGTATTAAGAAAGATTAGTATTTAATAACTCAAAAATATATAAACTAACCGCGAAATAGTTTTTACATTATAAGAATTTTAACAATATTTTAAAGCTTCCTTTTGATTGAACAGGATGCAAAATTTATGATTCATTAGGTGTAGCATTAATTTTGTTCATGAATTTTTATGTGAATGTTTTCAACAGACATCATAATCAGAGTTGAGCACTGAAATATAATTTTCCCTAATTCTGTTTATATGTGCTAATATTTGGGCAAATATAACATTTTCAGCTATAAAATTGTGCATGGTAGTAGATTTTGGCATTATTTTGTGCATTTTAAAACCAATTTTCCAAATTAATAAAAGAAAAAAAATCCAATATTGCTACAAAAAAATATGGAGACTATTTTTGGAGAAATGTAGGTGGTTTTAACGTTTAATGATATTTAATATTATCGTATGAAGTATTATAAAGTATAAATTTTTCCATATTATACTTTTTAAATATTATAATTGTTTTTAAAAATTGCAACAATTAATAACAGTGTAAGTATTAAATATTTATTCAATTTAAAAAAAAAATTAATTTAGGTTTTGCATCATAAGAAATATGCTAAGTGGAAGGCAGCTTATATACATAATTGTTTGAAGAATGGAGTTACACCCGTGGCAGGGCCTCTGGCTATGGAAGGAGATGAAAGTATAAAAAATTTTGTTGTTAATGCTTTTCTTTTTCTTATGAGAAATTTGTGAATAAGGCTTAAAACAAATGTAATTGTATGGCTCAATGATAAATTTTAACAATAAAAAAATATTGTAATTAGTACTTATATAGAGATGCCAACATTCTCCTGACAGCTTATAAATATTTTCGAGTGATAGTCTTTTAATGTATAATTCTTTGTTTAATAAATTCAATTTATAGGGTTTTTGTTCACCAATACTTACAAAGGCTTATGTGATACGCCACTTTGTTATAATTAGCCATGTTGAGCCTTTTTAAAAGTTAGCAAAATTAACAAAAAATTTGCTAATTTCAGTTAGTAGTTCTCTACTGTTCTTTAAATATTTTTTCAAATCTGGAGCAGTTGATTTCTCTGAGTTATATGCTATTGAGGTTACCCCCCAAAAAATTTCTGAATAATCAAAGTTAAAACGCTATTAAATAGTGCAAGAACAAATTACAATTTACAGATTCAGTCGCCAAGTAGTTCAGAAAATGAAATTAATTATTGCACATAAAGTACTTATGTTTGGAAATAAATGCGACTGTTTTACTACCATTAAATGTTCTAATTATTAAAATAATTGGGGAAAAAACAACAGCAACGAAACTAACTACAATGATATGATAGATTGCAATGTCATTATGTTAATTTTAAAAAAAAATAGAATTAATAAATAATACAAAATTGATGAAACAGCCTAGAATACAGTGACATTGAATACACACTTTGTTTTTTTCTTGTTTTTAGTTTCTTTTTTTTTCACTTTTTTCTTGTTTATAACACTTATAAATAAGTTCTCAATCACTAAATTTTCATATGAAAATTTCAATAAAAATATTTTCTCATATTTTCTATACACTGAAAATGTGAATTAAATAATTATTTTATTGCATTAAAAATTTATGCCTTAACTACATTTTCCATTTATTATATACCTTCTGTTTTATAAATTTTATGTTTCGTCGAACTTTTACCCTAATTCAAATATGTCTACAGAAAACTATGTATTAAATTACTAACTTCTTCAAATTATTTTGGCTGTACTTTAACTTCTAGCATGAAATAGTCAGATAGTATAGTGTGAAGGTACTAAAGTTAATTTCTTTTATGAATTTAGATGAAGATAATGAATTTTCCAATGAGAAACCAGAGGATGATTTAAGAGATGAGTCGTCAACATCCTTTCCACAGGACCAGCCTACACCCTATCCAACAGGTGGTTTGTTTAATTTACCTGGTCAATCCCCTGGAAATTTCTCCACACCAGTGCCCAGTCAAAGACAACCACCAGAAGGTTTTAATTTGCCAGTGCCTGGAACGCATGCACCACCATCTACACCGAATGGGACAAATCAACTGTCCCCTTCTGCATCTGATGCTGATATTTTAAATCCGCAAAACAATACTAGTAAGTGTATTTTTTAACTGTATTTTTGTTTAAATCGGGCAGTAATATTAGATTAGATCAGCGGCTCTCAATTTTTTCGGCTTTGATCTACTTCTGAAATGAAAAATCGACTCTATCAGGGCGAATAGGGATTAGAAGATTAGGTTTCTTTCTAGAAAAACAAAGTTTTTAATATACAAAACTCTTGTCAGGCCGGACATATGCTCCTGAAGCTTAGACAATGACAAAAGAAAAATTTGCATCGCAATATTTGAGGGAAAGATTTTGGGGAGTATACTTGGTGGTGTAAATGAAAACAACATTTGGAGAAGGAGATTTATTTTTGAACTGTACAAGATTTATAAGCAACCTGATATTATTAAATAAATAAAATGAATTGGATGGCCTTGGTGATTCAAATGAGTGATGACATTGCTATAAAAAGGATATAGCTTTTTAGAGCCACTGGAACAAGAAAGCGGGGAAGGCTGTGGTTGAGATAAGTTGATTTGATGAAGTCTCATTTTCTTGCAATAAATGAAAAGAATTAGAGATCAAAGATAAACCGGAAGTCATTATGGGGAAATCTTCAAAGGAAGGCTTTGGCTCATATTGGGCTGTCTAGCCAACTATGATGATGACCTATTCAGAGAGAACTCCGTAACAACTGTGAACACTTTAACCAAAAAAAGGCCTTTTTTTTTAAAAAAAAAATATTTAATGTGAAAATGAACTATTTTTTATCTTAATTTTGTTTGTACTAGTTCTAAAATTAGGACAGACAGTTGAATACACGTGGTTGGAGGGCAATTATTCTACTTCTGAATTGGAATTTTGGTGTATGTGTAAGCTGAAATTAATAAATTGAATTATAGCTTTAGGTGAAATAAAAATGGAACAGATCAAAAATAGATGTTGAGAATGGTTATCAGAAAAACATATTTTGTTATCACTCAATCTGGTTATTTTATTTCAAATTGAAAGATTCACTGCAAGATACACATTAGTATCTTGCAGCAAATTTTTCAATTTAAAATAATAAAAAACTAGATTAATTGATAAAGAAATATGTTTTACAGATAACCATTAATAATAAAAGAATATGCGTTTTATAAATGCATATTCTTTTCAAATATTCAGATAAATATAAAATTTTGATTTTTCATTCTTCAATAACATTTTACTTAAATAAAAATTTCATGAAAGTAAATCAAAATATTAAATAAATAATGAATGATTAGTTGGATATAAATTTAATTACAAGTTTCCAAAAACATAAGTCCTAACCCATGTAACCTTTTCATGGAATACATTTTAGGAACTTTTTTAGATAATTAGCAACATTTGCCACCAACTTTGTGCCAGTGCACGCTAGTCATTAGAGTTCTATCTGGTGCTAGGGTGGAATCAAAGTGAATGTCTTAAGAAAAGAAAATAAAGCTTTCTAAATGCTCTCAAAATCACTTTTTTTGTCATAAAAGAATTCTATTTTGTGAATAAGCAAATTATCAACTTATATTTACAAGTTATACAATCATCAACAAAAAGTTATAATCAACTATTTTTTATCATTAAAGTTTTAAATTAATTTTATAACTTAAAAAGGGCAACAAATTCAAACCATATTTTTATGAAATTTGAAACGTATATTAAATATGCATTAAAAACTGCCATAAAAACTTTTTGTTTCAAATTGTCAACATTTATTTTCTCAAACAATGAGAAACATAATAAATTTTTCTTTTACTTTTAATGTTCATAAAAATAATAGTTAATTTTCATAATAGTTTAACTTTTAAAGGTAAATAAATAATAATTAAATAAAAGTAAAATTGCAGTGAGAGAAATAAAATAATGCAAGAAAGTAACTGAAAAAAATGCCAATTTTAATTGTTAGCACTTCCTTTACAACAAAAATCTGTTTTCTATATATCTTAACACTTATTTATGATAAAGATGAAATGTGAATTAAGAATATGTATAATAATCAATAGGAAAATAAATATATATATTAAATGGCCCTCAGTTAAATTTTCAATTATTAGTTCAATACAATCATCAAATCTGTAAAAATTATATAACTGAGAAATTTTTTAAATTAGTAATTAGGTTTAATATTTTATAAATGAAATTAAAAAATTTTAATTTTAGGAAGAAACTCATCTTTTGAGTAACCAATCAGTTTTGCCAAAAGTATATTAATATTTTCTCCCTTAGCTTAATTAGCAATTTTGATAATTCTGCAATTATTTAACTCTTAATACAATTCATTTTAATTGAAACAGAGATAAATAAAATTTTTGGAAACGACAAATTAAAATAAGATTTATTGAGACATTTGCTGAAAATATGAAATTAGTGATGGCTCCTTGATTGTCATTTTATTAAGATGTTGATTGACTTTTTTTTTCTTAAAAAAACTCAAGAGTACTAAATTTCTAATTATCACAAATCTAGTAAGAAAAGAAATCTCAAATACTTTGTGTAATTAGTGGACAGTCACTCTGTTCAAATTTAAAAGTTTTATTAAATACTATCTTAATTCAAAAAAGGGGAGAAAAATTACAAAGTGATGACACTCTTTGTTTAACTGTTCTAAACCCAAATGAACAATCGCCAAGTTCAAGCTTTGCAGTACTAATCTACAAATATAATATAGCACTCATACAATTAGCTTTCTAAAGATGTGAAGGTAATGGATTCGCATCATCAGTGCAGAAGAGGTCAAAATTTTCTTTTAAGGAAAAGAAAACCAATTTTGAGTTTGCCCCTCCATTTACGAGACCTTTGGTTCGATTCCAGAGTGAGACTCAAAACTTGGTTCATTCTTTAGCAAAAAAATTTTGAATAGCATTTTAAAAATAACAAAAAGTTTTTATGTCTAAACGTTATCAAAATAAGTAGCAAATTTAACATGAAAATTTGGTATCTCCAGGGTGTCAAATAAAATGTACTTAAAAATATTAATTACTTAAACCCAATGAAATAATTTATAGTCATTGTATTAAATTTCAAAATCTTTAATTCCATAGACCTGCGCATTATATTTTTTCATAACATGAGCGAAAACATTTTAGAATAATTTTAATTATCTATTTAAAATTGGAAGATATTTTTTTCATGCCAGATTAAGAAGCAGTATTTTATCTTTGAATATTTTTTTATAGGTGGTGTTCCTCTTAGATCAGAAGATTATCACAAAGCGCAAAAATACTGTAAATTTGCTGGAAGTGCACTTCAGTATGAAGATGCACCAACAGCCATCCTAAATTTGCAAAAAGCTTTGCGACTCTTAACAACTGGCCAAGATCAATAGTAGTATTGTGTCGTGTATAATCCTGTATATTTAAATTTTGTTTCACATAAATGCTATGCAAATTTTATTCTGTATAAACGAATTATTTATATTAAAATTAATGTTTTATGCTTCAAATGTGATAGTTCCATTTTTTAAGAAAAAAACACTTATATTATATTCAGAACAAGATTTATTTCAAAAACAAGACTAGAAGTGAAACAAACTCAAAATTATAACGAGAGAAATAATATCTTAAAACAAAGAAAAAATACTGAGAGGAAACAACTGTTTAGTAGAGGCCAACTTTAGTCGAATAAACCTAGAAAGAAAGAAAAATATTACATATCTTGCAATTAACAGATACAAGTAAAATATGAATAATTCATTTACCAAATCCCATATCTTCATCAGATTCTTCACTCTCTTCTTTCTTTTCCTCTTTTTTGGGTTCTATTAAAGAAATGAAAGATAAGTGACATTTTTTGCTCCAAAAGTTCTTTAATAAAATTAAGTCAATGCTCTAAAAAACTAGTAAATAAAAGATCCTAGATATTACTAGCTTGGTCCATTTCCAAGTCCCTTGAATAACATTCAAAAGTGAATTGAAATAAACTACAATGCAGAGAGTGTGTTAAGACACCATTATGATGAAATTGCCTATTTTGTGAGAAAAACAGGGTTTGAAACATGAAACCAAAATTCATTCATCCACATTTATTATCTGCCACTGATAATTTTATGGTGGTTCGATAGATTATCATTAATTTCGAGCTCTATGTACATACATAGTCTAATCTCATTATTACAAAGATAAAAGGTAGAAAAGAAAGACTCTTCGCATCTTTCCTAATAAAACAAAATCATATTAATCGATAAAGCAGCACAAGGCATTTAGGATGATTTTAGACAACTTTAGTTGAAATTTTAGCAGTTCCCATCCAATTTTTACTATTCTCATAAATAATTTTCCAAGTTTATCTCAATACTCAACAACTGCTAAAATTGTAGTCCATACTCTGAACAATCGATTTTTTAAAAATAAAAAATCCTATTGTTTACATCACATAAAATCTTCTACTTGAATTCTAATCTAAGAGCGTTTTTTTTTCTTCACATCTAGAACTTCAATATAAAATCAATAGGCTCTTGGTAAGTCTAGAATCAATATTTTATATTAAAGTGCCTTTCTCTTTGATGATATCAACAATTTGAAGGTTGTTTTACTTTTTTATGAAATGTTAGTAGAAAGAAACTTTTTCAAAAGTTTTATTACCTTCTGCTGCTGCAGCTGCCTCACCAGCACCTGCTGATCCTCCAGTTGTCACTCCAACTGCTCCTCCACCACCACTCACCCCAGAGCCTACATTAGATATAAGTTGTCTCAAATCAACTCCTTCAAGTGCTTTCGCAAACAAAGCTGGAAAAAAAAGAATGCAAATTGAGTTCATGAGTTGTATTACTGATCATTTAACCAACTATTCGCACACAAAAATACCCAAACATAATTTGACTTTTACAATATGACTGTTGCATGTTTACTTTTCAAATACAATTTTGTGTTCAGAAATTATTCTGGATAATGTTCACTAAAACATACATAAACTGAAATTAATGAATATATGTAGCGCATTATACTTAGTTATAATTGCTACAAATTTATATTTCAATATACTTTTATAAGAATAAAAAGCAAAAGAAATACTGAAGTATGACTATCTTATTAAACTGCAATACAAATGTTTTAATGTAAGAAAATAACCTACAAAAAATATTCATATCAATGTTGTTTTTTTAAAAAAAACTAACTTTAGTTTAAATGATATAAAGTAAAATCTGTTACATTGCCCATCAAAAAGAAGTAAAAAAAAAATTCATAAAAAATGAGCAGAAGAAAAAAATTAGAAAAGAAATATACCACCACCAGAACACCAATAATATAAATCACAATAACTTACACAACCAAGGAAGGAAATTTCAGCCATCCATTACAAAACATAGTTTATAATGAAATCTGTATTTTAATATCCATTGTCATCTACTAATAAAAAAAATAGCATATCTATAAATCAAACCACACATTTAAACAGTAATTTGATTATGTGCTTTCAGAATTAAGATCAATAATTTATAGCAAATTTATGAATAAAAACTTCAATTTTTCTTTAACAGATAGTAAACTAATGACTGCATATTGCATATTATGCTAAAAATTGCTTATTTCCATAAAACTATCTTCCTATCATAAAGTTATCCTTCGTATGTTAGTTAAAAAATTCTATTAAATAAAATCAACCTAATTATATGCTCATACACTTTTAAATGAAACTACAGAAATGGTTCACACAAATCTATGTTGAAAATTAACCTATAGCTTATATTAAATAAAAGTTATTTTAATTGCTATTCAGGACTTATTTTTTACTACATCAAAAGTTATGTTCAAAATGTGCTTAAACTTGAAAGAATATAAATGAATTTTATAATAAAACAAAAATATAGTTTATATTAAGTGTTTAGCTATTTAAATTTTTCTGCAATATGTTATATGGTTTTTTTTTTTGTATGAATGCTTTCAAGAATGCTTTTTTTTGCTTTCAAGATATCTGATAATTCAGTGTTTCGGATTTTCTACTTTTACAACTTAAGTCCTGTTTGTGTATGATGTACCCTCTCAACACGGTGCCTCCTTGCATATTTTAGATAAGGCTCAGCACCAATCTGCTATCTTACCAGATGTAAAATTAAATAAGCAAAACAAGTTTATCACTGGTCAGGGTTGGGTTTTTGCCGTCAAAAACTGGTTTTTGACATGACAGTGGTAAAAGCCGTGTTTTTACCGGTAAAAACTGTTAAAAACCTACTGTTTTCGTTAATTATAAGCATATAGCGGACAATATATTATTTTCACTTAATTGCCTTTATAAATGAATGTTGTAAACAATTGCTATTGATTTTGCAACTATATACATGTATTCTTATAGAAGGATATACATTCATACAGAAATATTGTAATATACTTATTGAAAATAGTGATACTTAACTTTTATCATTATAGCTCTATTTGCAAAGGATTAAAAATTTTGCACTTCTTAATTGTTAGAAATAAACAAACAAACAAAAAAACTTGGAACTATTAATAAATTCAAGAACTAAAGAGAAGAATTTAAAATTTGGCATTTCTTAAATATTAGAAATAAGCTAAA